CCAGCGCTATGCCTCATGGTGCTGGATTCAGGCAGTCTATAGGAGGAGCAAGCACTCGTGGAAGCTTTGGTTTTAACCCTCGAGGCTCTCTCCCTCCAGGCACAGGGTCTGTTTACAGCGCTGCGGGTAGCTTTCTGGATACCCCAGTAGACAAGCTACTCGAAGAGCTCAACAGTGACAGTCTATCTTCCGGGTTCGAGAACATTGCCCTACGCGAATCGACATCTGGACTCCCGGAAGAACTTCTATTGACCAAAGTTGAAAGTTTCTCGTCTCAATTCTCGGGCAGCTTCCAAAAAGAGCCAGCATCCCGCCGGTTGAAGGTTTCTACATTAGCGTCCACTGAGTTTGGAAGCGCTCACAAAGGCAATACAGCTTCCCTGGCAGTATACATCGTGGACCAAGTAGCACAGAAATTGACTATTGTGAATATGAGGGCGGATCGGGAACCAACTCCCAGAAGCCGGAAGAAAAAGTCCAAGACCGCCGAGCAGCGTCCGTTACTTGTGCGTGCGGTAAGGATTCAAAATGTCTCAAATGTCTTGGATGCTTGTACAATCTCCGATGGGGATCTTTCGCGAGTACTCTCACTAAGTGAAACAGAAAGCGGACGCCGCGAGCTGTCATTGCAAACCCTGTGGGGTAGTCCCGTCAAAGTCAAGGTTCCTGTGCCACTACAGTTGTATGAACCGGATGGCATCTCTGCCAACAAACTTGAGAGTCGCCCGAGAGAAAGTGGTGTCAACCGGGTCATGGCAGATCCCGACCTCGTCTTCATTAGCTTTGATCATGGGTGCTCTAGAGGGAAGATCGACCTGGTAGACACCGATAAAAAGCGTCACAGACTCCAAATCCGAATGGAGCCTCGCAACGAACTAGTGAAGAAAATACTCAAGGTCTGCAAGTTTGCCTTGCGTGAGTCCGAGAAAGCGGGCGATGGCATCATGGTCGCATGGTGGGAGGTCATGAAATGGCTTCGGGGCAAGGAGGAAAATGACATTGAGTGGACCGCTATGACAGTCGTCTTGTTGAGTCTAGCAGCCCCATTCGTCACCCCTCCACAAACGCAGACTCCCAAACGAGCGCGTCGCAAGAAGGGCCTACTCAGGTCGAGTAGTGGAGGGCACCTGGACCTGGAAAGCTGGGAGTCCATGCTGGACCTGGAGTCTGGCTCAGCCGGTGTCGTAGCTCCATGGATGATGGACAGTTCTTGGGGGTGGATCGTTGAACAAGACGCAATTGAGAGTCTCTCATCAGGAGGTGCACCCAAAGGTGCCAATACAAGTCGATCTACATATCGCCAGAATTCGTACCTGATCCGGTGCATCGCCCTCAGCCGTGAATTCCTCCAAACTCCCCAAGGCCTCAAGGCTGCTGGCCGCGACGGCTACCTCCCTATCTCTGAAGCTTTCTCAGAGAACACAAGATGTACCGCATTGTGCAGTGTTCTCGTGGCCTTGCATCTATTGCGTGAAGAACAGAAGCTCTCCACCTGCGACTCAGAGGAGTCTCAAAGACCTCTGGGGTTGCTTGCTCCTGTCATCGCACAATTGGGCGGCTGGCTAGGATGGGAGTCTTGGAAATGGACTGAGGATGCCTATTATGGCACCGAAATGGCCAGTATGGAGCGCTGGCAGTTTGAGGATAATACCCATATCGCTGGGCTAAAGGTTCCTGCAGAACCCTTCCCGCCTCCATCCATCTTCGAATTTCTCATGGGTGCTGCTGCTCATCGGAGCCCTACACCGTTTGTTTCTCTCCTCGATATTGTGAATGCATCCGAGCGAACTCCCAGGAAAGGGCGAATGTGGCGTGAATGTTTCAGCATCACGCCAAGGACGTGTGCGTTGAATGGCTTCTTTACCGAAGTTCACAGTGTGTCGACACCTTTGGAAAAGATCAAGCTTTTGCAGCGTTGGGGGTTCACGAAGAGTGTCATTGATAGCTTCCCAGAAGGTGTCAGCGCACCGCTCTATGAAGCCGTTATGCAATGCCAGATTGAAGCATCCACGTCCTGGAACGCGACCCTCCTAGAGCTGATTGACAGAGAAGACCTTTACATGTCGATGAACCCGGCCCAGACCAATTCATTGGCAGCGCCGCAGCAACCTAACCATAACGCCATCCGAGATTTCCATTATATCAGCAGCTCGGCATTGGATATCGATGCCATCTATGCCTTTGAGGCCTCTGCAGAGGCTGACCGGTATTCGGTCACTAGGCTGATCTTCCGCGAGGATAAGCGATTTATGGAAGCAGCCAAACTGCTAAACCAGTCCAAAGCGCCAGTGGCTGAGTGCATAGCCGAACCCGGCTGGAGTGACTCGGACTTGTTAGAGGCGCAGAAAGAAATCGTGCAGCTCGTGACAGTTCGGACGTTGTCTACTCCAGCGGGTCGTGCAATGCTCACTTTTAGTGGCCGATTGCCTTTGTTGACTGAGAAACTGCCGATCCCTTCATTTTCCCTGCAGTGCGTCATGAAGCCGGACAACGTGACAGTCAGCGCGGATAGATCTGCGTTCTCAGAAGAAAAAGTCTGCTGGGCCTTCTTCCACAACGGAGTATCAACCGGTCTGGCGATCTCCAAGGCCTCCAAGGGTATTGACACTTCGTGGATCTTGTTCAACAAGCCACAGGATCTTACCAACCGGCATGCCGGATTTTTGTTGGCTCTGGGTCTGAATGGCCATCTTAAATCGCTTGCCAAGTGGGTTGCTTTCAAGTATCTCACTCCCAAGCATACCATGACATCAATTGGTCTCCTGCTCGGTCTCTCTGCGTCGTACCTGGGCACGATGGATACTCTAATCACACGTTTGCTTTCAGTACATGTTACAAGAATGCTTCCACTCGGCGCAGCTGAGCTGAACCTGTCGCCGTTGACTCAAACTGCTGGAATTATGGGTATCGGTTTACTTTACTGCGGCTCCCAGCATCGGCGTATGAGCGAAGTCATGCTCTCTGAAATCGAGAACAGTGAGCAGGACGAGCAAGCTGCTGCCACTGGCGAGGAACTCCGCGACGAAGGATACCGTCTGGCCGCAGGCTTTGCCCTTGGTTTCATTAACCTTGGCAAAGGCGATGACTTGCGGGGCATGCGCGATATGCACATTGTTGAACGGCTGTTGTCAATCGCTGTGGGTACCAAGACCGTCGAAATCGCCCATGTACTCGACCGTGCGACGGCTGGCGCGACCATTGCCCTCATGATCATCTTCATGAAGACGAACGACTCGGTACTAGCCAAGAAGATTGATATTCCCGACACCACTGTTCGCTTCGACTATGTGAGGCCAGATCTATTCCTGTTGCGAACATTGGCACGACACTTGATCATGTGGGATAGTATCAAGCCCACTGCTGAGTGGATCAGCCAGAGTCTGCCCGAAGTCTACCGGGGACGATCGCGACTCACGGATGTGCGCCGGCTGCGCAGCGAAGATATGCCGTTCTTCAACATTATTGCAGGCCTCTGCTTTGCCGTCGGTCTCCGCCATGCTGGATCTGGACAAGGACAGGCCCGAGATCTTTTGCTGTTTTATCTAGACCAGCTTATTCGCATTGCACGGCTACCTGTGCGAAGCTACGATGCTAGACTCGCCCGCAATTCCGTCCGGAACTGTCAAGATGTGGTGGCCCTATCTGCCGCGGCAGTCATGGCTGGCACGGGTGATCTAGCTCTGTTCCGGCGGTTGCGCTCACTCCATGGTCGAATCGACGTTGATACACCATATGGCAGTCACATGGCGGCACACATGGCTATCGGAGTACTCTTCCTTGGAGGAGGCAGCCACACACTTGGCACATCCAACCGCGCTGTGACCGCGCTCATCTGCGCTTTCTACCCAATCTTCCCAACAACTGTCCTTGATAACAAGTGCCATCTCCAAGCCTTCCGCCATCTCTGGGTTCTCTCTGTCGAACCACGATGCCTCGTCCCTCGTGATCTCGATACCCGCCGCCCAATCTCGATCCCAATTACCATAACATCCCATGACGAGACTACTCGCACCGTCGGCGCCCCCTGTTTACTGCCAGACCCAAGCAGCATTGCTCGTATCGAAATTCGCGGACCAGACCACTGGCCGCTCGTTCTAGACTTCAGCCAGAACGATGCTTTACGCGAGAAATTCCTCGGTGGCGACCCCTCCGTCTACCTTCGCCGCAAGGCAACCTATAGTCCAAGCTCCTCAACTTCCGTCTTCGCCTCCACCCTGACCGGCCTCAGTGAAGCCCAGGACATCCTCCCAGCAACCTCCGGTCTACTCTCAAACCCAGCCAAGGGTCTCCCACCATCGGCATGGCCAACCCGCACGGCTCTACTCACCGGCAAGCCATCTGCAGCGATGACTCCGTCCCAAAACCCCTGGGACTGGGTCTTCCACCTCCCTTCCCTACAAGACCTCGACATCCGCGAGCGCTCTCTCGTCCTCCCATCTTCCTTCCCGATGCGCTCCACCCGCATCACCACCGATCTTGTCTCTGTGCCGCCTTGGCTACGTACCTCAGCCGTAGATGCAAGACTCGCTCTGTCCCATACCGTGCGCAACATTGTGCAATCCGCACGCGGCCGCGGCGCTGATCCGGACCAAATTCGTGATCGGATCTGGCAGCTTCGTCTGCTGTTTGATTGGCTGGATCGTACTCATCCTGGTGATGAACGCGACCATCTTTCCACTAGAGGGCTACTATCCCCGGCGCAGGGTCAGCCATCTGGGCTGTGGTTGCGGAGAGACTTTGTTGAAGAAGCTAGATGGCAGGTTTGGGGTGTGCAAGTTGGGGATGAGGGAGAGACTCAGATATAATTGTATTCACATAAGATCAAGCCAATGCGTGTATTTCTTTTTCTCTATCGAATCCCCCACAAATAGCTTCCCGACCTCGGGAGATAGACCTCCCGAGGTACCCCCAATGACGGAATGCGATAAGCCGAGTATCCCATCTCTTGCTCAATTCAACTCTTCAAGCCTCAATCCTAGCAACCCCAATATTTCAATCAAATGACCAACCAACACCAATCCCCAAAGCGGAGTGAGTCTCCAACTTCTCAACACAGAAACCCCCAAAACTAACCTCCAACAGTATGGGCCTCTTTAATAACAAACATGTCCTACCTCCCAGGCCTCCTAACCCTCCACCACTCCCTTAACCACTCCTCAGATCACACACACCAAGGAACAAAATATCCATTTATAGCCTTCTACACCTCAACCTTCCCAGCAGAAGGTCTCAAAATCCTCCAAAGTCGCAACATCCAATCCCAATGGGTCCCCTCAGTAACACCCGCCAGCACACGCAACTACGCGAAAGACCCGCGCTTCGCCGAAACATGGAACAAGCTAATCGTCTTCTCACTCGAGCAATACGAGCGCATCGTCCTCCTCGACGGTGACATCCTCATCCGTCGGAACATGGACTCATTAATGGAATTACCACTTGACGAAACCGACGTCGATGGGAGTCGCGTGTTCGCGGCCGCACATGCTTGCGCTTGTAATCCCATGAAGAAGCCCCATTATCCTGCTAATTGGTATGTAGCATGCATGCTATTTCGATATATCTACTTTGCCCACACTCCCAAGAGTATATGTACTAACGTTTCTCCCACAGGATCCCCTCGAACTGCGCATACACGACGCAAAACTCCACACCCGATGACGCGCAGACCGTTGCGCCACCGCCAGGTTGCGGGGTCGGGATGCTAAACAGCGGTGTGTTAGTCGTACGACCATCTGCGCGAGTGTATGGCGAGATCACTGCTGCATTGCAGGAGACGGAGCGAATTGAGCGGTATGACTTCCCTGATCAGGAGTTGCTGTCTGATGTTTTTACGGGACGCTGGGTTCCACTGCCTTATGTTTATAATGGGCTTAAGACGTTGCGGATTGAGGGTGTACATGATTGTATTTGGAGGGATAGCGAGGTTCGAGCTGTGCATTATATCTTTGCCACGAAGCCTTGGCATGAGAAAGTGGAAGAGGGGGATTTATCTGGGTTAGATGAGACGGGGGTTTGGTGGTGGAGGGCTAATTGGGAGAGGATGAGGGTTGAGAGGGGAGTTGGTGTTTCGGATGAGTTCTCTAGGTCTGTGTAAATAGATTTTATAGATGTGCTAGATGTCGAATAGATACTGCCATTTGAAATTCATGATAGTGAGTGGTATTGATATTGATATTGAGATCAATCTGAACAGTTAACAGCTCCTATACCAGATGCAATACATGCAGGTCGATCTAAGTATATCCATGCAAGGGTGCAATCTGCATCAACGTCATCAAGCATCACGCATTCTTATCTGTTCAATTCCAATTAACCATCATAACCAACAGCCTGAAGCTCTTTCCGCACCGCATCCTCAGTCTGGATCTTCTTCATCTGCGTATCTTCCAGCTTCTCACCGCCAGCAAGACGCATCTTAAGCTCGTCAATAGCGCGGATCTTCTTCAACAGGCCGCGGATCTTCTTATCCTGGGCAGAGGGGTCCTCAACGGGCGCGGGAGCAGCGACAGGAGCAGGGGGAGGGGTGGGAGCAGCGGCAGGAGGAGGGGGCGCAGACTTGGCCGCACCGTTTCCATTCACGACGGCGGCGTTCTTATTGCGGTTGCGGTTGCGATCTGGGCTAGGTCCAGTCGGGGCGTTGGCAGGAGGAGCGTTATCAGTTCCATCTTCCTTGGCCTTCTTGGCGGCCTCGCGCTTCTTCTTGTTCTTCGCGGCGGACTTGGACAAGTTCTCGGAAGGCAGGGCGACGCCGCCACCGGGCGCAGCTCCGGGAGGCAGGTACTCCTCCAAGGGCTCGGCGCCGGGGATCTCACGACGGCGGGGCTTGCCGAAGGTATTCATGCTAGCGCCGGGGACGCCGTCGCGGACAAAGGCGGCACCACCTTCATCCTCACGCTTGAATGCGAGCGGGGTCAGCTGGCCGCGGGCGCCGGGAGGGCGGTAGGCACCTGCTGGCTTGACGGGGGCCTTGCGTGTGCCCATGTAGGCGGTGGCAGAGGGGTGGGGAGCAGGCACCTTGGAGAGCGGCTCGCCCAGCGGGTGCTGCTCGATGCTCTGGGGGCGCCAGGTGACATCGTACAGCTCAGTCATCTCCTCGTTGTAGGTGAGACCGCCAGTGACGTGCCAGATGCGCACGCCGTTGTCGACGCGCAGGCGGGGGCTGGTCGTCGCGGTCAGGATGTACTGTCCGTCGGGCGACCAGGCGCAAACGCTGGCGTTGGAGGCCTCGACAGTGGTGATCTTGTGGTAGTTCTTGTCCATGTCGTAAAGGTCCATCTGTCCTGCCAGGTTACCGAAACCGGCAACCAGCACGAAGCGGCCATGGGGCGAGAACTGGATAGTGTTGCGCGGCGCAAGGGGGAAGTTGTGCTTGGGGACACCGCGGAAGTTGAAGATGGTCGTCTTGGCGGGCATGTAGCCGTACACAACACCGAATTCCTTCGAGTTGGGGTTCCAGCTAACATCGTGAATAGGACCCTCCTTATCTGTTGAGTGTCAGTTGAGTTCAACAAGTAATAAAATGAGAAAAGCGAGAAAACATACCAAGATCAATGCGCGAGTCGAATGCACCGCTGGCGCTCAGCAAGTACAGGGTCGTCTCGCCGTAGTAACTCTTACCAGTGCGGTCGACCTCAGTCTGCGCAAGCACGATCAAAGTAGTTCCGGAAGCGTTCCACTTCAGCTGGACCTTATCGCCCTTGAAGAAACTCTTCTGGGACACGGGCGCAGTGAACTGCGGCACAATGAACACCTTAACCTGGGCAGGCTGGCCCTTGCGCTCAGGAATGAACACGGCGATAGACTGAGTCTGACCGGGCGACAACGCAAAGTCCGCCACTCCTTCCACGCGCAACTTGTTCCAAACAGTGGACAGGTTGTCGCTCTGGTAGAACTGAACCTCGTTGGTCACGGTGCGGGCGCACAGCTTCTCATCGGAAGTGTACTGCAAGTTCCAACCGGTCTGCGATTTCTGGACGAAACTTCCCACAACCGAGTGGTTGTCTCCGGCCTCAATGGCACGCCACACCTTCAAGTTCTTGACGGCGTCTCCGTTCTCGTCCTTGGACGTGCGTTGCCAGGTGATCACATAGGTGCCGAGTGGCGAGAATCCCAACTCGAACACGTTATCGGCGGGGATAGTCCCAACGACAAGGCCCACGGAAGGGTCGATAATGGTGACCCTATGTGAAAAGGCGAAGGTTAGATTTTGGACGTGCAAGTGGGGGGAAAATCAACTTACTTCTCGGGTGATGCCCATGCGAAGTACCGGCCACACGGCGAGTAGCCGCTACAGCGGAGGTTTCCCTCTGGTCTAACGGAAAAGGAGTCAGCGAAATTTCTTGCTTGTTATCTGGCTCAGTTCTTACTTCTCGAACCCAGAAAGGGGCTGGTAGACGGGGGCAGCATCCATGATGCTAATGCCCTTGAGCGTGCGGACTGTGCGACTATCAGCAAACATTCATCCACTCGCGTAGACGAACACGACCCGAAGGTCGAGAATAGAGACGGGGAAAGGAAGACACTTACAAGCAAGTTGCGTAGGAGCAGCCATCTTGATTTCGACTCGCGGGTCTAGAATGATACCACCAAAAGAAGAGAAGTCGAATGCTTTTCGGGAACACAAGGTAAAATGGATTCTTCTAGAAAAAGTCGAATCACAAAGCGAACTTATAGGACCAAAATAGCCACACAGCGAACAACGGTCCCGGTGAAATAATGGGAGTCGAACAAAGCGAAGCGAAGCGGGCTTTTCGAGGGTATTTCTCGGATTGGGAATTCGGAGGTTTCTGGGCAAGTGAAAACAGCAAGTCGGCGGAATAGAAGACTGCTAGACAAGTCAATGCCAGCAAAAAGAGGTCGGGCGAAGAAAGGTAGTTGGGGAGGTTGAAGAGTGAAAGAAAGAAAATTCGGGTTTGGCGATGTGGCTAGGCGGCATGCCGTCATCTGCGGTATACACGCTGTGCCGGGAATCCCAATTGTATAGATTGTACGCTTCAACTTGAATTGGAGCTTGAATAGAACTATATAGTAGCTTTATGCAGTTTTATTCTACATGTCTAGATAACTAAATACCTATAATAATGCCTAGCTGTCTAGATTTACGTGGAAAAGACAGGTGGCAACGGTCTTTGGAGGGGAAAGGCACCCAATCAGGTACTAACGACACCTAAATATTTGGACATACAAGTCTTGATACACAGTTTCTCTGCTTATAGTTACATGCATAGCCATTGTTGGTTCGAAACAGATACAAAAAAAAAAAAAGCAATCCATTCGAGGCATCAAGCCACTAAAAAAAACGCCTTCCGTAACCTCTTGTGTCTACCAAAGCAAGAATCAGACTCTAATCCCGGCCTGGCGAGCCAAATCCACTGTTGCTGTGACCGGGAGTGGTAACCAATCGTGGAGTTCTGGCAGTGGTGTCAACAACATCCGAGTCAAAAGTCATACCATCAACCATGCGAGCATCCTCGTTCACAGGCTCGGGAGTCATCGACCCAGCCGGCGACGACGACATCATGGAGCTCTCCCCAGCATGATGCTGTTGTTGCTGCAGATATGAAGCTAGCGCATTCGGGCGGTTGACATTTGGGCTGCCAATAGAAGTAGGCCGTCCAGAGGAAACACGGTTCATTCCAGGCGGACGAGAAATCGGCCCGCTGTAAGTACTGTTGGCGCCTTCGCCAAAGCCGACCAGACTAGCATTACCTTCATCACTAATGTTACCGACACTGGAGGTGCCGTCGTCTTCGTGATACTCGCTCGTTCTGTCAGCGTCGTATGTGTCGCTACTGCTCGCCCAGGTCGTGCGTCCAGCGATGCTGCCTGTTGCACTGGCGCTGCCGACTGTGCTGCGCTCCTTCAGTACTTGACTCTCAAAGTATCCTGGAGCATATGGCGGAAGCACTTGGCCGGATGTCTGGCCACCGGCGCGGGCTGTGGCAACTCGCTCAAGGCCGGCTAGGCGGGAGATTCGGTCTGCACGCTCAGCCTCTAGGGTTGTGGAGGATGTGGAGGACTGGTGCGCATGGTGACTGTGGGTGAATGGATGGCCCTGGTGACCGTCTTTGATGGCTGTTGTTGAGAGAGCCGATAGCGATGTAGTACCGGAGTTTGGGGTGCCTCTGAATTCCCCATTAATTAATCAAGTCAGTCAACTCTCCATGTTATGTATAGACACGGGGAAGACGGAGTTATGGAGAGCTCTTACGGTCCCATATCCGATGGAGTGACGGGTTCCGATGGGGGAGGAGGCAAATTGATCAGCGTTGGAGTAGACATGATGCGAAGATGAGAAGGGAAGGTAGAGTTGAGAATTAATCAAAGTTAGTAATTTGAGAAATATCAGAGATGAAGGAAAGAAAGAAGGAGAGATGGGGGACTCAAGTAAATAATTAATTTGCCCCCACGTCATACCTGATCTCTACAGTCATTTTTAGTAGCCACATGGACAATACTAAAGCCTTTGCTTTTCACCTGGCCTGTATTACCTGGTTTTCCATTTATAAGGCCTCTATTACTTCATCAGGCATTATCAGGCATTGAATTATTTAATTTACTTGATTCAGAATGGTATTAGATAGTTCTATTTTACCTATATTTTTGAATTTTTTCGATGTTTATACAATCTGGAGCTCCGCATATCGTGATGGACACTAAACTGATCCGTTCATCTTTCCCCATATTAAGGTCCCGAGGTTCAGAACTACCAAAATCCAATGGGAAACGTACGCCAAATTCATGCATTCGTTCATTCATGTATACAATCGCCCATACTAAAATGTGGAGAAAACAGCCCGCTGCTCCTTCAATCGACTTTCCGATTCTCATAATGCCCCCGGAGATCATCCACCTCTTTCTGAAGTCTGGTGAGATCCGCCAGGATATCAAGAGCATTGGATGGCTGTGGGCCTGGGGCTGGGGCTGGGGCTGGCGTTTGGTTGTCCTTCAAACCCATCGCATCACTACGGGCAATGGGGTCTCGAGTGCGTCGAGGCGGAGGAGGCGGAGGTGGTCCAGGAGAGCCAGCCGGTACACTTCCATAGGATGATGCCCGCCGCCCAGCCTTCAGGGATGATGGTCTGGAGTTAGTGTGGGGAGATAGGTTCAGCGAGAACTCTCCCAACGGGGCAGTCCCCTGGAAGTCTCGCGATGATGGTGGAGGCATGCTGATTCTCTTGTTTTCCAGCGCCCGACTGGAAGGACCCGGACTGGGAGGCAGAGAGCTATCATTGCTCTCCGAGTCGTAAGACATAGTTAATCGGCTGCTAGTTTTGGACTGTGTAGACTTGGATCTTCGCATCTGGCTGTGCCGTCGACTGAGAGGTGGCGTTGGAGGACGCTTATGCTGAGACTGGCTGCGCTGGAGCGAGTCCGTCGACCCCGTCACTCCCACGGGGACCGAGAAATAGTCCGATGATAGAGACACCGAGCTGGGATGCAAGGCGCCGGGCGTCACATTCCCAGAGCCATGAATTGATAGGCGGTTAGTAGACCGGGACCGGGCGGTCTGGGAGGATTCTGCGGCTGTAGACCCGATTCTGCGGCCGTGATGACTCTTAGGCGGAGGCGGCGGCTTCTTGTCTTTCGCTCGGCCGGGAGGGCTTGCATTGAGCTCTGGAGACAACTGTACTGTAGGACGTGCATGGGAGCTGTCTACACCTGTTGCAGACCGCATGTTGTGGTCGGGCGATATGGGGGATCCATCTGTTGATGGAGCTGGGTGTGGAGCTGACCCAAAATTTTCTGGTCGATCATCTTCACCGGAAGCTGAGCTCTTGGTCCCATTGATTTCATCCTCGGTATCGCTCGTAGACACCGGGTTGAATGGGTTTGTCTCTTCGTCCGAGGAGCTCGAGTCATCTATCTCGCGTTCGAGCGATATCGACGACTTCCCATAACGATTTGGGACTATAGGTGGAGTGGATAGAGGCTTCGAGGGCAAAACAGGAGCAAAGGTGCCTGAGTTGGTAGACAATGGATCGGGATTGCCTGTCCAGAATCAGCATATAAGATGATTTCCTCCCGGGAAGGCTCAAGAGGGGAAAGAAGGAGAAAAACAATACTCACCCCGTCTAATGCGAAAAGGATTTGATCCAGACATCGCGACAATGAATATGTTAGAATCGAGAGAAAAGGAAGGATTGAGGGGTCGAGTTTATGAGGTTCCTACTTCCTACGCGCCGCTTTCCGTCGAGTCCGGTCCGAGAGGCTTTGGAATAAAATGCATAACATTGAACATTTGAATTATGGATAGTTGAAAAACGAATCCCAGCTCCCTATTGTACACGGGAAAAAGGGTACAGGTATGGTACAGAAGCACATAAAAAATATAAAAAAAACGCTCTCCAGAGAATACAAAGTCCCCCCCCCAAATATGCCTCACCCATTGCTGTGAAATGATTAAAAAGAAAAGACCCTCCCATGTTCAACCATCACCGCTCGTTATAGACATGCCATGTCTCTTCGCCCTCGAAAAACTTATGTGCCAAGCGATTGCCACTCTCCGTTGGCTGGCTGAATGCAATTTGTGCCTTTGTTATTTCCATCCCGTAAATAAAGTTGATGACCACGCAGTCGAGGAGATCTAAAGCGATTCCCTTTCGCCGCGAGGATCCGGAGGTCCAGATGCGAGAGACTCCGACAATGGCCGGGCGGATTTCATCTCGTGTCGAGACAGAGCCATTGTGTTCGCCATTTTCTTTCACCACCGGTCGCGATTCCCAGATGCGCTCGGTCAGACAGAGCCCGACACAGCGACTGTCCTTCATATGTAGAAATACCCGGTACCGATCTACTTTCTCGGTCGGACCATCTTGTAAATGTTTGGGTGGTTCCGTTTGGCTCCAGAGGGTCTCGTCGTCGATTTCCGGTGATGAGAGCTCTTTATTGACAACTTCAAGAACCTTCTTCGCTTGGCTCTTGGCACTGGGGGACGCCTTGCGGTCCACAATTACCACGTACCCCTCATCGAATCGAGTCGCCTCGTAAACCCAGCGTGAGGCGTTCGCACGCATAAATGCCTTGCCCAGGTCGATCCCAGTCGCATTCATCTCGTGGAACTTTTTATGCAGTGCCGCATCCTCCGTATTGGATGGGATATATTCCATGCCACAGGTAACACAGGTCTTTCGTGTATCATTTCCTAGGTCGATCTGCATCTGGCGCATGACGGGCTGTTTCTGACCCTTTTGCTTGGGTGGGTCCACGGATGCGCGTACACTATTCGAGTTGACCTCTGTCAAGGGCGATCCGGTCGGGACTTCCTTGTGCTTCCGCTTGAGAAAGGCGAATGTTGGCTTGCGGGTGTTTGCTGGCGGTGGGGTTAACCGCGGAGGTGGTGACGATGGTGGTGTGGTGAGATCGTCAATATCATCGAGCGTGCCTTCCGACAACAAGGAGTTCCGACGCGATGGGCTCGACAGCACGGCTGCTGAAGATTCACGGATGGCATATTGCAGGTTGGCCTCAGCTTCATCCGACTCATCCACGCGTCTTTTCTTTGCGGCGCGCTCATCATCGTAGACGCGCCATGTTGGTCGTCCGTAAGTTTTCATAAGTCCTCTAAATTGAGTTAGCTCAGCCCCGGAAATTGAACCCAGTATACATACCTCTTAAATGAATTGGTAACTGTCCACGGCATGACCCTGACTTTTTCCAAAATTTGCTCAGGGCAAGGTGGGATGAGGAAGTTGAGAAAGTCCAGCTGGTGACGGCACGCGTGGGACGCTAGTCTGTTTTAGGTCATATTGTTTCGAATGACTAACCATTGACTTACCTGAGGGCTTTTTATCCAACACTTGTAAGTGCTTTTTTTGATTTTTCGATCTGGAGATGTTTCAAGTTCAAATAGAGGAAGAAAAATGAAATGGAAATGATCAACAGTTCTCTGGTGGAGAGCTGGTTTTATGAAAAAGGGGAGTCTCGCCACCGGGATTAATACCGGACCAAGGAGAAATGAAAGAGTCAGGAGCAGAGAGATGTAAAGTGAAGACGTAAAGATGTGCAGGAGTATAACAAATAACACACCCAGCCCTCAAATTCCTTGTGGTTGGTATGTCGGGCACTTCTTTTTTTTTTTTTTTTTCCCTCGCCCCCTTTCTCCTTTCTAAAATATACACAATTGGGCAATTGGCAAGACAGGCTCCAATCTCCAAATTCAACCAATGAGAATATCTTGCACTGGGCTAAGTCTACCAAGTCGGGAGATTAAAGATGACGCTTTTCTAAGCCCCTGGCCTCTCATTGCCAAGTGTGCACTCTCACCAGTAAGGTCTTCCCCATAATGTATTGTGCAAGGAAGCGCACGTTGGAATTGTGATTGACCGCTCTAATGCTTCATTCAGCGCCTACAGGCTACAGGCTACAGGTTGCATTGTTTTCATTTTCAGAATATACAGCGCATGGGGCCAACATAAACTATTCCATGCTGATTGGATCCAAGACACGAGATCTTCGATCTTGTTCAGTGATTGGCCTAATGTTCGCCAGGTTACGAGGTCCCATCGACATATGGTAGGCCTCCCTCAGATCTCACAGAGTACAAATACGGACTCGGTGGCAACTGAGTGCTTGGCATGTCATCGTGAGATGAACATTTAGTGATGCCTACATGATATACATGCATTCTACCGGACCGCGGGGTTCAAATTCCTGACAGGTGTCGCAACTCTGCAACTCTGAACTGTCTCAGAGATAGCCAGAGCTACTCCTTATTCCAGGTCAGATTGCCCTGGTGACGAGGCTTTCTTGTACAACCTTTTGCCATTCTGAACCATTCATGGCCTTCATATATGTGATGACCCTTCTCATTCACTGGACAGGAGTCTCTCGGTGTGCGCTGCCCCTCAAGAGGCAATGCTGGGCAGCCAGTCAGATTTGTTTGTTCTGAGTCACCAACACAATCTAATGCAGAACATGTTACACATCCTCATCATCTGGTCTGACCAAATCCCCAATGTTGTGCACCAGAGAGTTTGCCAAACTTGCTAGAGTCTAGTCCAGAGGTGCGGAAATAGCAAGTTTACATTCTTGTCTAGGATGTTGGACCTATCCAAAGAGAAGCCTTGATGTGGCTTCAAACGCAGCTGGGATCATGCATTGTACAAGCCGTACTCCATTGACGGGATGTCGATCTCCCTGCTGACGAGACCGTTGGGGCTAATACTAGAAGGGAATCGACTGTAAAATATTCCATATATATATATGTGTAGTATGGAGTTATATTTTGTTCTATTCTATTATTCTATTGCAATATTTCACTATTTCACTATTATTTGGACATATAGAGTGTCTAAATAATACCAATAAGAAGACATACATGCAAAAGAGTGTTTCTATATAATTCTACCAGCTGACGGTCCGATCTCCGGGGCCACTTTTTTTTTATCTCTCCGTGTCCCCGTTTTTTACCCAAAAACTCTTCAACTACCAACATCTTACAAATTAACTATGTCTGACCAAGAACAAGCTGCTGGAAAGAGAAAGCGTGCGAGTAAGTTGATTTGTTTCTATGTTTTGCTTGCTTTACAGCAATTTCGATATTCGGGAAGGTTTTTTTTCTTTCTCGACAGTTACTCGAATCACAATCCTCAGCGTCAATATCTTCCAGAATCAATTCTGATCTGGACCGTGTGACATATCGCTGGGCACCAATCTCCCGAATATCCCAGCCTCACCGTTTTTCTTCCCTTTTACCCCTCCCCGCGCTTAAATTGCAATTCTCATCGCAACTTTGAACTTCAATATGTCTGACATTTCACCTCCAGGGACCCAATCTTGTCCTCCTCCGGAACTCCCCCAGCTCGTTGCCGAACAACATGTGGCAATTCCATCCCATGACAAGGACACCCAACGTTTGATCGTGGTTCTCTCCAATGCCAGTCTGGAAACCTACAAGGCCGTCTCCAGTGGACGGTCAGGAACCAAGGATGAGAAGTTTTCTCTGTTGAACAGCGATGAGCACATCGGTATCATGCGTAAAATGAACCGTGATATCAGTGAAGCCCGACCAGATATTACCCACCAGGTACGATTCAACATCGCCAGTGGCAATAGAAAGGTCCAAAGAGAATACCCACTAACCCACCGTAGTGCTTACTCACTCTTCTCGATTCCCCCGTGAACAAGGCCGGTCGGCTCCAAATTTTCATCCACACCGCCAAGGGTGTTTTGATCGAAGTCAACCCCTCCGTCCGCATCCCGAGAACATTCAAGCGGTTCGCCGGTTTGATGGTCCAGCTGCTCCACCGACTCTCCATCCGTTCGACCAACTCTCAGGAAAAGCTCCTTAAGGTTATTAAGAACCCGATCACCGACCACCTACCCCCCAACTGCCGTAAGGTGACCATGAGTTTCGAGGCACCCGTTGTCCGTACCAAGGATTACCTGGAGTCGCTGAACCCGAACGAGAGTGTCGCCATCTTTGTCGGTGCCATGGCCAAGGGTCACGACGACTTTGCCGATTCCTTCAAGGACGAAACTATCAGTATCAGCAACTACAGTCTTAGTGCCAGTGTGGCCTGCAGCAAGTTCTGCCACGCTGCCGAAGAGGTTTGGGATATCCTCTGAGGGACTCGACTGAAAAAAAAAAGAAAGAAATCGCGCCCAAAGAGCGCGCGTACTTTGTCGTCTGTATTGACGGCACATTTGCCAGACTTTTTTTTTTTACGGGCGGAGATTGAGTTGCAGAACGAAGGTACTAGGCATATTGCATATGGCTGTCCTTGTTCGAGTACTTTGGCTGTTAACTTAAGCCCAACTCTCTCTACCTTTCTCTCTGTTTTGTTTTGGGGAATCCACTGGGAATAACTGGATACTGGGACAGCTACCAAGCATCGGGATTCATCCCAGGCTGTCTGTGGGTGTTTAGAGAGCACCTCTTTTCCCCCTCAGCATAAGTTACGGGTCGGACGGCATTTGGTTCCTTTTCGCCAGTCCTTTGATCCATCTTGCTTCCATCCAGCTTCAACCTCGACTGCTGCGATGCGTAGACTAGAAAAAGTGAACAGCACATAAATCAGGGCCCATTGATTTGGATTCTGAGACACATATCTTCAACTTCTGTGTTCAATAAAAATATGGCTTTTTTATTTTTTTTACATGTTTCTCTCCAGTAAGATAATGAACTCCCTTGACGTGGCATGCAAATTAGCCTCGCCTCACTTTGTATGCCAATCGGATCGAGGGTGGCGATCTGAGATGCACTTCTGCCCATCGGCTTATATTTAGGTAATATTGTAGATATGTAGAGTATTATTCTATGTGAACTCATATTAGAAACTAACAAATCTCAAATTATCAACGTACGATGTATGTACTACGTACTGTTGTATGACTCAAAAAAAAAAAAAAACCAGCGGTCAGCACATCTACCCAAGTCCACCTAAACAGCAAAGTCTTCTCTTCTCCCTCCACTCGCAAGTCTACCATTTGCTCACACAAGGGGAACAGGTAAGCAAAAAGCCCACTTAACGTCGATAGGCTCCTGCACCTCGCTCAGGGCATCCAGAAGAGACGCCCCATCCGCCAACAGGAATCCACATTGGCTCCCCGCGATGACCTGGCAGGGACCCATCTGCACCCCTCCAGCCATAGAGCGTTTCACTTTGCAGGGAATTGGGCCCCTAGATATCCGAATGCAGCCAGGAACAGGAACAGCCACCGGTCTGGCTACTTTGTACTGTGTTACTGGAAGTGCTGAATGGACTCACCTTTTTTTTTCAGTTCAAAGCACCAGAGTACGGCTTTGGGCCTTCAACAAGCCTCGTCCTCGGACGGTTTCAACTGCCCCGTGCAGATCGGGTGTACTGAACATTGATTTGACCTTTTGGCCAATCGTCTCTGGACCCCACTTACCTGACTCCATACAGAAATCACACGTCCTCAAGTGCCCACCAACCTACTATCGGAGACATACGGTATTTGCTGGATGACCCCTTTTCGCCAGCTTGGGCAGGATTTTGGAAACTGCTAGCTTAGTCCGTCTCTGTTTTTGGATTAGAGTCACACAGTATCACACTCCGACTGGCTCTTGGGGACTGTTCATGTGGCCTCGTTTTTTGGCGCAGTGCTGGTTATAGACTTGGATTCCCTCACCGTATATATCCTCCATATCGCATTTAATCTCTCTCTTCCTTTCCATTCACCTTCGCTTTTTTTTTCATACCCCCATTCTCTTTTACTCTTACGTGCTGGTAACCAGGCACGTCGACTTCAACCTTCGAAATGCCCGTTTCGCATATCACCTTGACCGTCTCTCACCTCCCAACCTCTACCTCTTTCTTCTTATCATGTTTACAGCCATTGGGATACCAATTCATCGGGCGACATGACGACTATATAGGTTTCGGTCAGAAGCAGGGGGAACCTGCTGATTTCTGGATGACCGAGACTAAGCCTGGGTATGTGATATATACAAAGAAACACTCTTTCAACAAAGCTAACCCGAACCAAAGATCTCCTCCTGGTGCAGTCCATGTCGCCTTTCCAGCCCCGTCAAAAGACGCAGTCGGCTCGTTCTTCATAAGTGCCCTAAAAGCCGGCGCGAAGATCCACGGCGAACCCAAGATGCGAGATTCGCAATCGGGGTACTTCAGTGCAGCTGTCATCGACTTTGACGGTAACAGCATTGAAGCCGTGTAC